AAAACTGATCAATTATTCATAAAAGCCTAAACTTTTCATTTTTTTAGTCAACTACCTTACAAAGGATAAATAGCTATAGAAATAGACACACACACACACATTAATATGCACTCTACACCTACACACATACATTTTATTTAAATGAGGAAAATATTTATATCCAAGCTGACATTGCTGAAACTTTGAAATTCTACTAATATGCTCTGGAACCTAAGTACATAACAGTAACAATTAAAAAATAAAAATTTAGACTATATTTCCTAAAAGAAAGTTACCTTCAGCCCCAAATTTTGGTAGGAAGATAAATATATTTTAATAAGAATTTTCCTCAAGTAAAAATTGATAAACAATCAGAAAGACATCAGTATGCACATATCACAGAAGAGGTCCCACTATCACACAAGCAGGAAGGATCCAAAGTTGTATTGTGTATTTTTAAATTCCAAGTCTGTCTTAGGAACACTGGAGGGTGTGAGAGAGGGTGAGGAAGTGGCCACGGTCACACGCAAGACTATATAAGGCAGAGGAGCTACAAATTTCCCCAGGAGATCTTGAGACACCAACTTAACATAGGGTGTCTCCCATCATTTATAGCCCAACCATGAGGAAAAATAAACTTTTTCAAAGAATGTCAGAAAGAGTCTTACCAATACAGTCCCCAAATTTCACCTTCACTGTTAGCAAGGAATCCTGATTCACACTAGATTACTGCAATAATATGTAGTAACTACCAACTTCTTATCCATTAAAGGACTATACACATTATATTGTATATATTGCACACAATAAATTATATGAGAAGTATTACTTCATATGTTCATACTGTCATAGGAAAGATAACATGCTTTAAAAAAAAAAAGCACAAATTAAGCTATTTTACCCCCAAGTACTGAAGATTTTACACATACCAATAGTTATGTTATTAATATGTACTATAACCATCAAATTCGTATCCTCTAAGCTCCAAAGAGAGTAATTTTTAAAATCAAGCAAAAAGACGACTTCGGAGAAAGAGCAAACGGTTTTGCAAGATACACAGCATGATGAGGCTTCTCTGATTAGGAGTCAGGGACAGGCTGGAAGGGAGACTGCCCACAGCGAACACAGAAGCAGAAATCTGCTGCTGTTCTCGAAGAGCACTCCCCTGTTACCCCGGGTATCTGAGTGACATGTTACATGAAACACAGGAGCAGCCAGCACCTCGTCTGAAGTGAAGGATGTCATCCTGTACTTTTCCCTAGGTGGCTTGATGGCATTTCTTTCCAGGCATGATAAATCAATAGCAGACACAAGCTCTCCATGGAGCAGCTTTGATATTTTCAAAGTAGGTTTTCAAGTAACAGAACTCAAAGAAAGAAGGATGCATACCTGCCCCTAATTAGAGGTAAGCAAAAAAGGCGCTTGATTTTCAAAGTCATGTTTTCCACAATAGCAAATAGAAGTAAAAAAAAAAAAAAGACAGGTCAAATTCCACACAGCAATGAATCATTATGTAGAAAAGACTACGTGAGATTCATTTTAATTTCTTTCTAAAACAGTCAAAGGAATTCAGTGAAAGGATATCGCAAAAATATGAAACACAGTAAATCACAGATTTACAAACACAAAACATTCTAAATAAAAAGAACATTTTTCTAATATATCAGGAAGAAGCTAATGATTTTGTTTGTTTTCTGAAATTAAACATTTATTCATAACTTTTTTATTACAATATGAAAACAAGTTTTGGCAATAAGACTAATCTTGAATATCTCCAATGTATAAAATTATTACTTGATTTTTAAAATTAACTTAAAATTGGTACTAATGGTTCTCCTAAGCAACAAATACATTTGCTTACTTAAGTATACACGTATTAGGTTTTTACAACTCTAAAAATTTGAACTTTTATTTGTTTCTATTCTCAGAAAGTTACTTTAACAATGACATTAATTCCTTAGTAAATGGACAGTCCCATCTACTGGTTTTCTCATAGTTTTAGAAAGTTTTCTTATTCTAAATATTCTTCATTGTAATATCATTGTATTATGATGGGGTGGTTTGGAAACTTACACTCTTACTAATTTCTATCAAGATTAATAAAACCAAAAATAAGTATAAAAAGCTGGTATTCAAAACAGTGAATGTAAAAATCAGTAAGGAAAACATTTCATTTAAATAACTGCAAAATATGTCAAAATATAAGAAATAAATTAAATGGACATGTGTAAACATAAGTACTAACACGATGAAGCAGTACAGTTATTTATTCATTCTAATTATAGTGGGCTGTGAGACAGACTTATGATTGTGGCGCCCTCTGCTGGGCTTTCTACTCCAAACTTGTATAAAATCAAACTGAAAACATTGAAGGTTACCAGTGAAAAATCACTTTAAGCACTGGCAAAAAAAACCACATTAAAATTACAACTTTAATATTTACTTTATTGGAACAAGACTTTACCAATTTATCATTAAGTGAAATCAATATAGGTTTTTCTTATAAAGTAAAAGGAATGTAGTACAAAAGTTACACACTACTACATGCATTAACAGACGTTATTTTTGTCACCACTTCTATCAGCTGGTAAGGTATTCAGGTTTTAAGACTATATGTATAGCAACATATTGTAATCAATTACTATTTTGGTAATTTGGTCTATTTTTCCTGCTCTGTTGGTTCAATCAAGAGTTGATTTGCAACTATCAGAATAATCCTTAATAATATCATTGTCGTTACTAGAAAAAAAAAACTGAAATAAGTTTTAGAGATCTGACCCTCCTTGGTGGCACAAGGGGTTAAAGCGCCGCACCATGAAGCTATCTGCAGCCACTGCAGCATGTGTTCGATCCCTGCCCAGGGAGCTGAACAACGCAGCTCAACTGACCTCTCCTGCCTCACTTGCTGCTCCCCTTGGCAGTGTATTTCAGTAGATCTGCCTCTTCTTTTCCCCACTGTCTCTGGTGAATATTCTCGCCCCCCCACACACACCTCTGGCCTACACCCCAGTTCTTGTGTGCATAAATAAATAAATCTTTTTAAAAAGTAAATAAGGGCCCTCCCTGGTGGCGCAGCGGGTTAAAGCACAGCACTAAGAAGCTAAAACCACTTCAGCATAAGTTCAATTCCTGCCTGTCCTGAGGTAACCCACATGGCACAGCAGACCTCTCCTGACCCGCCCACTGCTCCCCTCAGCAGTTTACTTCGTGGACCTGTCTGTTCTGCTTTCCATTCTGTCTCTGGTGAATCCTCTCACTGCCTCTGCACCTCTGGCCTGTATCTCAGTTCTGTATGCATAAATAATAAATAAATATTTTTTAAAAAGTACATAAAATATAAAAATGTTTTAGACATTTAATCACTAGTAATAGCTAGCAAATAGCTTTTATTTACCAAGTATCAACTATGAAGAATAAGATAGACTATGTCCATTTTCTATCTAATTATACCTATTTTCTATCTACTATATCTGGTTCTAGGAGGTGAAAAATATTAACACTCATAGAAATCTTATAAATTGCTCAAGGTGAATTTCAGAGCCAAGATTCAAATGTGCATGAGTTGCATTCTAAACAATTTCTACAAAACAATAGACACTGTGGAAAAAAATACCTTTACTGGGTAATTTTCTCCATTTGTCAATGCAAACAAGTAAAGGTTGAAGTGGAAAGGAACAAGGTGACAGGGAAAGTGTTAGAGAAGAATAAAATAATAACTCTGACCCTCAGGAAAATACTTTTATTTTACATAATGCTGCCAGCTAGTGGCCCTATTTCATACTAAGCCACTGGGAATACTTAATCTTTATATTACTGAATCCAAAATCTACATTTAATATTCCATGATTATATTCCCAAATTATATATGTGCATGCTTACTTAATATTTCATATTACCCAAAATTAAAGAAGGGTCTCCTCAACCACCATATCATCCCTTACTCTGTCCTTAATTCCCTTAAAAAATGTCCTATACCAAAGTGAGAAAGAATTCAACAAGGTGGCAGCTTGGAGAAACTCAAAGGCACACCAGTCACTATCCATGACAAAGGAACCTATAATGTTTTAAATTCTTTAGAGTGATTTTAGGATATTTTTGTGTTCCTTAGTCATGAATATATAAACATTTTTCTACATAATCAAAAGCTTGCCATAATGTGTGTCTGAGAAGAAAACAATTGCCTACAACATTATTACTGAGCATTCTTCTACAAAAATCTTAAATAAGAGAACATCTAATAAAGTAGTACTAACTTCAGCAAAGAAGGTTTTAGTTCAGACAATAAGCAATTACCATCTGAAATTTCCTTTGAGGAAAAAAAACCTCTCATTTAACTATGAAAGTTAAAAGGTCATAGTTAATTGATAATTCACGCTTATGAGAAATACCCTATACAATACATATGAAGACGTATGCAGTTCCTATTATGGCATGTTGTTTAATACAGTGATGTAAAGGTATTGTAGTCTGATTTCCTTCATCACAGACATTGGTTTTAATCAGTGAAATTATTTCCTCAGTGTAAAAATCAGTTATTTAGATGAAAAGATAATAAACTTTATAAAATTATAATATTGCATAAAATAGAGACATTGTGTGATTAAAGTCTATTAGCAGCAAGCAAAATATGTCCTCGGTTTATTCTGTAGTGAAAGCAGCAGAATGCAACAGCAAAACGCAGCAACAAAAGGAAGAGACAGCCCCTCTAACTAAGGTCAAACTGGAAAGAACAAACAAAAGGGTAACTCCTGGAGAGTCTGGAGGTTCCCTGACATATATTCTACACCCCCCACACACACTCTTCAATGTGTAAAAACTGCCCTATCCTTTTCACTAGTCACATCTTGTATGAGACGTATTTTGCAGCTATAAACAATAAGAGCTTCTACTACACATGTACATGCACACAAACGCCCATGCAATGGTCAGTATAATCATCATTAGTGAGGAACAAAACACCAATGATGAGTTCATTTTCTAAAACGCTAAAAATATTTCTATACAATGAGCATGTTACTTACAAACATTTCCTGTGTTGTCGAAGCTGGTAAGAACATCTTCAACATTCAAAGGTCCACTGTTATGCCTAGAAAGTAATAAAGCATTTTCTTTAATGATTCTTAAACATTCGCAATTGTTTTGAAAGCTGAGACTGCATTCTGATACTCCCAACACTAACAAACCCTTCCATGCTATATTTTTAAAGATTTTTCTGCCCACTAGAGGGAGAAGGAAAAGAAATAACTAAGTATAATCCTCAGAATACTTAGTGCAATGATGGTTTGTAATGATTAATCTACATTTTGAAGCACTGATATTTTAAAATTGTTTAGTTAAATGAAGGCAATTAATTGCCCTTTTAAAAAAACATTAAAACTTTGCCACTTAAGAGACTCTCAAAGGAAACAATCAACCTCCAAAGCCACACTCAATAAAGCATTAATTTCCCCTACAAAAGGCCAACAAACTTCAGTCATAAAGAACTAACCAATCTTCATTTTTACACCTTCCTTCCACAGGGAATGCTAGTTCAGGACAGTGATTTTTATATGTTTTGCCCCCTAACCTTAATGTACCCACTTTAATTCTAATCTCTTCATTTGAAAGCCCTTTAAATATTTGATGACTGGTATTTATGAATACTTATAAAAGATCTTGTTCTTCATATTCAAATAGACTCAGCCTTTTGTCAAATCATATTTTTTGTATAAGGTGTAATATGGTTTACAAAGCTGTATACATTTAGGTTGCTACCTGCTCAGATGGATGTCAACACCCACTACTAAAGCCCCAATAACCCTCCACCATCCTCTCCTGGACCCTGTCCCTTCTCTCTTCCCCTCCCCACCCACCTCTCCTGGCAGACTCAATTCTACAGATTTCTAGGGGGAAGGGTGTTTTGATTTCTTTAGTTTTGTCTGTTCCTTTGCGCTTTTTTTTTTATACTCTGCATATGAGTGAAATCATCTGGTATTTATCTTTTTCCTTATACTTATTTTGCTTAACACAATCTCTTCAGTTCCATCCTATTTGTCACCAGTGGTAAGATTTAATGTTTTTATTACTGAGTACTCTTCTTTTGCATGTTTTCTTTTCTTTTTTGCAAATATCTTCTTTTTTAAAAAGATTTATTTATGCATGCATGCAAGAACCGGGGTGTAGGCCAGAGATGTGAGAGGGTAGAGGATTCACCAGAGACAGAGTGAAAAGCAGAACAGAGGACTGACTGAAATACACTGCTGAGGGGAGCAGCGGGCAAGAGAGGAGTGGTCTGCAGGGCCACGGGTTGAACTCTGTGCTGCAGTGGCTTTTGCTGGCTTCATAGTGCTGCACTTTAACCCTTGTACCACCAGGGAGGCCCCACATATATCTTCTTAAGCTATTTATCTGTCCTTAGACACTTAGGTTGTTTCCATATCTTGGCTATAGTAAATAGTGCTGCAATGAACACAGAAGTAAGTACACATATCCCTTTGAATTGATGTTTTTGCTTTCTTCTACTAGACAACAAAAAATAGAATTGTTGGATTATATGATACATCTATTTTTTAATATTTCGAGAAACTCCCATACTGTTTCGCATAAGCGCTAGACCAATCTACATTCCCATCAACCAACAGTATAGAAGGGTCCCTTTTTCTCCACATCCCTGTCAAAATGTGTTATTGCTGGTGTTTGTGATAGGCCCCATTCTCACAGATGTGAAGTATAATCTTACTGTGGTTTTGATGTGCATTTCCCTGATAAGGGAGGATGAGCATATTTTCATATGCCTGTTAGTCAATGTATGTCTTCTTTGAGAAGTATCTGTTTAGCTTTTCCTGTCCACCTTATGATTGGGTTCGTTGTGGGTTTTCTGGTTGTTACTGAATTGTATTTCTTGCAGATCTTAGATATTAGCTCCTTTCAGATGTAAGGCATGCAAATATTTTCTCCCATGTGGTATGATGTGTGTTCATTTTGAAGATATTTTCTTTCCCTCTGTGGGAGCTTTCTAGTTTTAGGAAATTCCATTTGTTTATTTTTGCTTTTGTTTTCCTTGGTCTTATAGTTGAGTCCCAAAGACATCGCTAAAGTCAATGCTGAAGAGTGTTCTGTCAATATTTCTTTTATATGTTTTGTGGTTTTAGCCTTATATCCAAATCTTTAATCCAATTTGAGTTAGTTTTTGTGTATAGTATGAGATCATGTGGACCCAATTTTCATTAGGTCTAGAGTTTACTTTTCTAATCTTGATAATTGTTGCCAATGTAGTGACAATTTTCTACATTCTTACCCATTAACTAATAGATACAAAACTAAGATGTTATCAACATGCACTATATATTATATACAGAGTATATATAATTTATACCATCAACAGTACTTTGCCTTTGTCATTAAAGCTTGTGACAATTAATATATAATATTACAGATTGAATTGTGTCTCCCTGAAATTCATTTGCTGAAGCTGTAACCCCCAGTAACTAAGAATGTCACTGTATTTGGAAAAATAGCCTTTTTTTTTATTATAAGTTTATTTTTACATCATTTTGTACATTTTTTTTTCCATCTCAATTGTAATCCCCATGGGTTTCCCATCACCAAGTCACCCATGTGCCATCACCATAA